TGAATTAACATCTCAAAGGTAAATGAAAGTGAAAGTAATATTATATGAACTTGTTTTCATTTTTTGTTGAGCCTCTGCACTTTGTTACTGACATAAGAACAAAAATTGCTTTATTTTGTCCATTATTGCTATTACTATTGATAATAATTATGATATTAACATTTTTAAGAAGTAATAGAATAGCTATGGATAGCATCAGAATTATTCAAAATATAGTACAGCACAAGCAGAATGAACAGAATTTAAACAGTCATGAGATGCTTCTCACATTATGAACATTTAAACCACCTTGAGAAGAAGTACTTGGTGTTTGAGCAATACAAGTTGAGCAATAGAAGTAGCTCACTCATGGAATTGCAACACTTTTACAAATTTAGGAAAGAATCACATTCTTAACCCCTCAGGTGATGCACTAGAACAGTGGTTCTCAACCTTTTTTGTACCAGGACCCATTTGTAAACATCAATACCCAGTCCCGACCCAATGCCCCTCACTCCTGACCTGCTGCCCCCTGCCCCCAGTGTGTGGGGTGGGAGAGGGGGTGTGGGGGATACAGGGGCCCCTGGCAGTCCCGTGCAGGCTGGCAGAATTCCAGCCTGCAAGGGAAAAGCTACAGGTTCCCACCTTTTTTTCTTTAAAGGAGAATCCATTTTTGAAGTTTGTTTGTGACCCGATTTTGGGGCGCTACGTATAGGATGAGAAATACTGCACTAGAACACTTTATAACAACAACCTGGTTGCTCTTTGGCACTGACTTCCGAGTAGAGAAAGAAAACAAACAGTAATGGAATAATTAGAAGGAAATAAGTGTGCATGAAAAGGCTTATAGCTAATAAATAATACAAACAAACCTTATTTGCCTTACTAATATGAGTAAACACATTAATTCCAGCGGGACTACTCTCATAAGTCAAATCCTTCTGCTCGCTTTACTCATCATAACCATGAAGAGTGATTTTTTTCGGGGGGGGGACGGTAATTCCATTTGTAGCATTTTGAGGACAATGGGCACATCTGCATGTGCACTGTTACTGCGCAGTAACCAAAAATTACTGCGCAGAATGGGTGTGTGTCTACATGTGCAGGTGTTACAGTGCAGTAACTTTGGCGACTTACACCAATTTGGTTGTAAATTTGCTACCTGCATCATACAGGTAGCAGACTTATGCCCAAGTAGTTACCACACAGTAAGGCACATGTAGACGCTTTACTGCACAGTAACCCTATTTGTGTGTCCTTTTGCAAGGGGACTGGACCTGGTGATCTACAAGGTCCCTTCCATCCCCTAACAATCTATGAATCTCTGACTGACTTGGGACTAACTTTTGTCCCAAATCAGTCCACACACAGCATTACTATGCTGTAATGCTTGCATGTGTAAAGACCAGCATAAAAGCTGCTTACTGCACAGTAAATTACAGTAAGATTTCCATGCCCAGCATGTATTAGAATAAATTTTAAAATATAGTACGGTTTAGTTTGGGGTGTCATTCTATATATAACCCTTACAAAAATAATCCCACTGATTTAATTATGGCTGCCTTTTCTACAAAAGGTCTTCTGGATTATTCTTTTTTAGATGTATAAGAATACATCATAAATGTCAGCTATTTTGCTGTATAATTAAGATTCTTTGTTAAGTGGCTTAACTAAGAGATGGACTGCTTTACACATGACCTAAGATCCATGTAATGTTACAGGAAAAAAACACATCTTATGTAAAGAAATCCATCCTGATAGCCATTGATTTACCAGTGGAATCATCTAATGTTGAGTGAGAATTCATGATTTTTTTTCTGACTGAAAATTTAGTTTCTGAAAAATCAAAAATGTCTTTAGAAAAAATCCTTTTGCCAAACTTTTGATTGGGAGGAGAGGGGAGTGATATTTCATTTCTGGTTGCTTCAATCTAAGTTCAATATTTCATTTTGTTGAATTGAATTGAGACATTGAATGAGTTTGATAAAAACATTAAACTGTATTTCCCCATCAGTATGTCGCCTTACAGGACTTACTGTTTGGGCTCCCTTTCTCTCCTAAGGTGTTCCCTGGAAGACTAAATCTCCCATAATGAAAGCTCTGAGTGTGTATTAGGGAAGTCAAAGGGCTCTGGGTTTATCACTGGCAGTGAAACCTGGTTAAGAAGCATAATGGAAAATTGAGAAATCTGGGTTCCATGCTCTTTGATGGAAATTATAATGGGAAAATACAGCTAAAGGTTGAAATAATTTTGAATGAAAAATGTCAAGACATTTAAAATACATGAAAAATTTCATTTTTAGACAAGTGTATGTTACATTGCTGCATCCAATTGTAAAATTTTAATTAGGGGTGCACCAATAAAGATTTTTTGGGCTGATACTGATGGCAAATTTTTAACAAGCCATATCGGCCAATACCGATCCAGTAGCCAATATGTAGCCAGGCAGCTTGGAGACCAGCATCCAGCTGGGAAGTCTGTTGTGGGGGGAGCAAACAGGTGTGTGGGGGGGCAGATCGAGGCCCTTGCAGTGAGAGAGGGTGTGGGGCTGGGGCAGGGGCAGTTTGCTTCTGGCAGGCCAGGCAGTAACATCACCTGGCTAAAAGGCTACATGCAACAATGTGGAGGTAAGGGCAGGAGCTGTAGGGGATGGTTTGGAGGCTTCTAGTCCTGGGCATGACCTAAAACTGCACCCTGCCGGGAGTGTGTGGCCTGGTGAGGCTCTCAGTGGCACGGGAGCTCCCAGGAAATGCCAAGCCAGTTATCACCCCATTGAAAGGTGGGTAAGGGCACCTTAACCCTAGCTCTCACCTTAGGGTGGGTCATTTGTCATCAGAGGTAGTTGGGGCCGGGCACGGCTGCAGCCACCTGAGCCCTGTGGGGTGCAACAGCCCGAGGAGTAAGAGTGGTGGGCCAGGCACGGCTGTGGCCACCTGAGCCCTATGAGGTATAGGACCCTGAAGCAAGGTAGTTGGGGCCAGGCACAGGTATGGCCACCTGAGCCCACCAGGGAAGGAAGCCCTGTAGCCCCGAGTGAAGAGGGTGGTGTGGAGCCCCAAGTGAAAGGAGTAGTATGTCTCCAGATGCCTGAGGTGGTAGTTTGGGCCAGAGGCTGAGTAAAGGGGCTCAGTCCAAGAGATAGGGGCGAGTCCTGACCCCGGTAAGTCCTCCACTGCTGTGAGGTCGAGTGTGGGTCAAAAGCAGCAAGACGTGTAGTTGAGCACAATGACCTGCTGCTCCGGGGGGAGAGGGTGAGAGTCCCCCTGAGACCCAGAACACCAGTTGTGGTATGAGTTAAGAATGCCCCAGTGAGGGGTGGCCCTAGAAAGGAGATAGAGAGGAGGGACGCCAGTATGGGAGAAGAACCAGAGGGCTGGGAGCCCAGTGTGTCAGAGTGTATGGTGTTGTCCCAGGAAGGGGCCAGGGCAAGCTTAGACCTGGTCAGGTAATTGGCTGGCCACTACCCCAGTGAGGGCCATGGGAGAGACCCAAAAGACAGTATGTCTGCCACCCAAGGTATGAACTAGGTAAAGCCTATGGCTTAAGGGTCCGCTCCAAGAGGGAGGAAGGCAGTATGAGTTGTTGATGCGTGAAAAAGACCCTGTGAGAGGGGGTGGAGTGTGTGAGGCCCTAGTGAGAGGAAGATGGTATGAATGCATGTGTGACTGAGGCCTGACAACAAAGCCTAAGCTTTGTCTGGCTGTAGGCCAGGAGCACTGTAACATCTGGATGCCATCTGCAAGGCTTAGGCTGCGGTCTAGGGGAGGAACAGAGCTGCAGACAGCAACCCCTGGCATCCAGGCAAGAATGGGCAGCCTCCCACCTTAATTAATATCGTAATTAATTAACAACAAGGCATGGCAGGAAAGACAGGTGGGGGGGGTGCCCAAAGGAAGGTGGGGAATCTAGCACTGTGGCTAGTCAGGGAGTCCCACCTTGCCACACCTGGTACAATTTCCTGTGAAACAGAAATTCAAAATTACACTCAACTCTAACTTCAACCATTAATTGTAATAGGAGCATGGTTAGGCTATCATTAAGTTTTTGGTTTTGGTTTTTGTCTTTTTTTATTTTTTAATAATAGCTTTAATATACTGTATAGCTGTCAATGAGTACCCTTGAAAATCAATTAACTTGAGAATTTTGGTATTCAGAACATAGATTCAGGGTGCAAAATGGGGTTTTTTAGTGGTGTGCTGATATATTGGTTGCATATTGGATTGGCACTGATAAAAGGGGAAATTCATTCCTGATTATTGGCTTTTTTTGGCCGTTGTAGCTGATAATGTTTATTGATATTTATGCCTTCTGGCCAGGACCCTGGACGCCCGGGTTCCCTCTCCCCTGTAGGGCTGGGGCCCTGGATGTCTGGGTTCCCTCAGAAAATGGCAGGTTTTCCCTTGTAAGTGGGAAGCATTCAAGCATCCAAGGGGTCCTGCTTGAGGCAGCTGGGAGTGAGATGCAGGGGACACTGCATGCATGTGCGTGGCTGTATGTATGCACATGGGCAAGATTATAGCTGGGCAGCATGGAGAGCAGCTCCCTGCAGGTAAGTCTATGGAGGGCAAGGGGTATAGGGGAGGGAAGGGGTGTGGGGGGGCTGATCAAGGCCCCCGTGGTGAGGGAGGGAGTGGGGCAGAGGCTGGGGTTAGGGGTGGTTGGTTAATAATCAACTATCAGTATCCAAGAAAATCTTTATCGGTACACCCCTAGGGTTTTTTTTGTTTGTTTTCCTCACTATTAGCAATGAATAATCAACTGCACACCATATTAATTCTCTGGTATTCTGGCAGTTACAGAAACATAGTCTTGGAACTATATTGGTTGCTTCAACTAATGGTTGAATTTGGCCCTAAAATGAATCACTTCATCAGATCTTAGTAGAGCATTTATCACTCAGAGGAAAACTGACTGTCAGGTAAAACAGTTTCACAAATTGGATAATTAAAAACAAAAGAAACAATTTAAGTAATTGAGCTAGAAAAACACAGTATTTTACACAAAGACTGCAACCTCTTACCTCAAGAATAGGACACATTATTTCTGCTGTTGTACCTCCTTGCTTTTCACAGAACTTAAAAAAAGCTTCCAGATAAGACTAAGCAAAGGAGAAAAGAAAAAATGGAACACTTTAAATAGCTGTACATTGAAGTGTCAGTAGAACAAAGCATATGATCATAGATTTAGTTTAAATACGTAAATGCAACCAGTGAAGTTTCTTGTACTACTCACAATCTTAATATTAGGCATGTGTGTAATTGTGGTTTGGGGTTTGAAAAATTAAAATGCAAATGCATCTCTAATTGTCAGGAGATTATTTCTTGGATTCCTCTCTGCAACTGAACTAGTTAGTCAAACCTCTAAATGTCTGAGAGATTTTTTTTAGGGTAGTGTTACAGGCCCCACTATATTTTGAGGGGTTTCTTCAATGTATTCTTGAATTTCTTTTACTGACATAGCATGTGTAGGTTACATATAAGTAGTGTTGAGCTGTATTGAGCCTTACTGTTATTACATCTGCAAGATGGGCCCCAATCCCCATGTGGTCAGGGAGACAGCTGCCCCTGCAGCCAGCATAGTTCTCACTACCTGATGGGGATTGAAACCAGCCTCCATGTACCCTGCACCCGGGAAGACTGGAGCCCCCGTGGCTGCTGCAGTGGGGCAGAGCAGGGCAGGAGAAGCCATGCACTGGGCTGCTTCTGTCAGGTGCAGTTTGCTCCCAGCAGGGCGCATGTGTAGACACATGCCCAGGAGCTCATTAATGAGCCTGAATTTTCTGTGCAGAAAATTCAGGCACATTAATTGCACGTTTAGGCATGCCTACTGAAAATTAACTTCTGACATGGGTTTCTTTGCTCATCCAGTAGACCATGGTGGATGTGTTCTTAGTGAACCAGGCCCTCTAGGCAATGACAAGTTTGCTTTTAAACAGGAGAGACCTTAGAGGTGATGAATATCACCTAAGGATAGTTCTCATGGTGGAGAAATTAAATAAGAGAGTATCTTTCAGACATCTGGAAAGAAGAAAATATTCTTCTGGTCATAATTTGATGAGAAGAAGCTTTTAGTTTGGTAAACACACATACTGGGGTGGGGCAAGCTGGGGGCTGGGATATAGGGCAGGGACGTTATATGCATAATGCATGCTTTCCAAGAAGTCAGTGAATGATGTATGTAAATGGACAAGCAAGAAGCCATACTTAAGCCTTGCCATGAGGGCAAGTGTTAGTTTTTAGTTTGCTTAAGCATAGGGAAACACTAGACTCTGTCAGCCAAGAGGCTGATTATTCCGGCAGAAGACCCTGACAGAAAGGTCAGAAGCAGAAGCTGCTTTCTAATTTATTAAGATAGATAAAAATTTAATTCTTGGGTTTAAGATGCAGTGCGAATCAGATTATTGTTCTGATATTTTCTTTTGTTTGTTTATTCTCATATCTCTTCTCTGTATTTCATCTTATGGTTACTGATTTATTGTTTGCTATTATTTTTATAAACTTTTGATGATCATTTATAACACACTTATTGGCAGTGATAACTATGGCCTTAGAGCATTTGACCATATAGGCAGGTATCTTCTCTGGAAGTGGGGGGTCTAGCATTTCTGAGGGCTGTTACTAGCCAAGGGTCTTATTCTAGCTTGAAAACCCCCTGCTGCTAAGATCTAGTAAGACACAGGTGAGGTGGGTAAATCTGAGGTGCCACAGGTCAGGGAAGTGGCTCTTGGAGTACATCAGTCTATTCTTAGTGGTCAAGCAGCAGACAGTAGGCCTGTGCAAAGCAGCAAGTATTTGCTTCAGATTCAGCTGATTCAGAAGGACAGTGATGTGGTTCAGTGATTCAAATTACTGTCCCTGTTTAATTCGGCCAATTCAGAATTGGAGATTCGGCACCAATTTGGAGATTTGGCCACAGACTATACAGGCAGCAGTGCTCCAAGATGCAGGACACAGCTGCTTCCAGCTGGTTGGTAAGTCTGTTGTGGAGGGGGGAGGGAAGGGGTATGTTGGGGGGCAGATCAACACCCCCACAGTGAGGGAGGGATTGGGGTTGGGGCTGCGACAAGCTGCCCAGCGGGGGCCGGGAGGTACAGGATTTGGGTAGCGGGGCTCCCACCGTCGTGCACCGCTGGTCCGGGAGCTGCTGTTTTGGTGGCTACTCCAGCTGCTTTCGTCACTGGTCCGGGAGGGCATGGGAGCAGGCGTGTGCCCCAGGATCTGTGCAGGGCAGGCTGGGCCAGGCTGGGCTGGAGAGGCACGGGACGCTGCAGCTGCACTGCTTCAGACAAGTGGCACGCAGAGGTAGAAGCAGTTCCAGCCTCCCCACGCCTCCCAGACAAGCTACGGCTTCATCCCATTCTGCCCCAGCTGGGCGAGCAGTGGCAGGGCATGGGGGCAGGCACGTGCACCCAGATTGGGGCGAGACCGGCAGCAGGAGCTATGGGGAATTTTAGGCTGGCTGCAGCCCCCCCATAGCCCCTGCTCCACTGTGCTCTGTGGGGCAGGTGGAGACAGGGCTGTGCTCCAGGCGGCGGCTGGGGCTAGCCACCTGGAGCGCAATCCTGGCTCCACCTGTCCCACAGAGAGCAGTGGAGCAGGGGCTATGGCAGGGCTAGCCTCCCAGAGCACAGCCCAGCCCAATCCACCCTGTGCAGATCTGGGGGCACATGTCCCGTGCCCTCTCGGACCAGCGGTGAAAGCCACTGGAGGAGCCACTGGAAGAGCAGTTCCTGGAACGGTGGTGTGCGGCAGCATGCAGTGGCAGGTGCCCCCCTCCCTGAGGCCTGTGCCCCCCTGCCCTGGCTGGGCAGCTTGTTCCAGCCCTAGCCCCAGTCCCTCCCTCTCTGTGGGGTATTGATCTACCCTCCACCCACCACAACAGACTTACCAGCTGGAGGCAGTGTCATCTAGGACTGCTGCCTGTATAGTCTATGGTCAAATCTCTGAATCTCTCCAAATTGATTCAGAGGCTTCTGAATCAATTTAGACCTTTTAATGGGTCTCCCGATTTAATTCAGATTTGGAGATTTGGCTACCGAATTGGGCCAAATCTCCTCCAAATCAAAGCTTTGGCTACCAAAGCTTCACAGCCCTAGCAGACAGTAGGGAAGAGTTTGGGGCTAAGGGGCACCCCTGAAGGTGTGACAGCATGCTGGGAGTGTGTCTCAAGGGTGTACCTAGCCATATCCAGTGTCAGAGCATGTCACAATTAGTATTATCCTTTTATGTTATAGAAAGACATTTTCTACTGCATCACATGATCTTATCAAAATAAGCCATGATTAGCTATACAGTAAACATAAATGTAACAGCCCTTTTAAAGCTGTGCATGGGATTTCATGTTGGATCCAAAACAGTTCTGCCTAAAGTCAGGACTAAAATAATGATCAGATTTACACCTCCCCTGAGAACAATGAAGGAAAGAATTCTTATTACAGGTTATAATGGTCCCCATAACCACATGGAGGAATTAAGAGAGGGTTAAGAAAGAGTATTAACAAGCTTAAATGCTATGTATTTGCATTTAAAAGTGCAAATAATACTGCATTTGCTATATAAGTATTCTGTATATTGCTGTTGTTCACATTTTCATCAAATGAAAGACAAATATGTTATTTCTTCCCTAATTTCCTATTTTATGATCTTTAGCTTTAATTTTTTTTTCTCCTGTGTGACTTGGAAGAATTAAAAGAGTGGATTAAGACAGAGATTTAACAAACATAAATGCAACAAATTGCACTTGTAATTTTTTTGTACTTATTTGCACTTGTAAAAGCAAATACATAGCACTTTCAAACAAACAGAACAATCTAAAAAGTCTACTTTGGCTTTCTTAAGCTTAGCAATTCTGTGATTTTGATGGATGATTTAGTTATTTAATAAGCAAATGGATGTGGGCAGAGGCCTTACAGAAAAAGCATTTTCATTAATGAGATTTCAAATCAAAGTGTGGACATAGAACTTGGAATTTTAAATGTACCATTTTAAATGTAGAGTGCAGGAAACCTAGATTAAGTTCTGTCTCAGGAGTATGTCTCATTTCATTTCCCCATGCCTCAGTTTCCCCATCAGTAAAATGGGGACAACCCCAGTAAAATGGAGAGAATCTCCTCTGCAGTGTGCCTCAAGATCTACTGATACAAACGTGTAAGTATTAAATTACTTGCCTTGTACAGTTTGTTACGCATTATTTCAATGTTCATTTCATCCAGGTCATTCTCAGACAAGCAGTCTTGAAAGAAATCAGCTGAAAGTAGAATTTTTTAATTACAGAGTAAATTCATCTGCATATATGCAGGTATCTCTGGCTAGTAGTCATCTATTGATTTTGTAAGCAAGGACCTGGAGGTTTTATTGCACAAAAAAGACTAATGGACAAGATGCAAAGATAGACATTTTGAAATCCTTCTGGTTCTTGTTTTTTCTCTCTCTCTCTTTACACTAGGTCTCTAGTGGGAGGGAAATTAATCAAGCAGTTCAGTGGCAAATGTGCAAATCTCCAGAAAGCTTCAGATGGGAAATGACAATTACAATTTTAAGTGTTTTATTTACTTCCAAATAAATGGGTTGGGCTTAAGGGAGATTTGTAGTGAGCAATGGGAAGAAGAATCTGCAGAAATGCAGGTGTTACATTACACCCTGACGATGATACATGCTAAATCTGAGGACAGTTATGTGGTATTAAAGTTAGAATGTGCTCTAAGCAGCTGCACTTTAAGGCAACCATATCTGACCCGCACAGCTCTGACTAACTGCTAGAGGACGGCAAGCAGAGTTGTGGCTAGGTGCTAGGATGTCAATTCCTGTTCTGGGAAGGTTGTTGGGGGTTAGAGCAGGGGAGCTTCCTGCAGCTCTATGCTCTCATCCTCCCAAGCTCTTGGAGAATGGAGGATTCACTTCACTACAGGCTTCTGGTACTTGCCAGGCAGTGATCTAATATACAGCTTCAGAGCCAGAACGGAATTGGCAGTGACTCTGAGATGGTCTTTTGCAGGAGCAGTGAGGAATGGCAGGGTCATGCAGCCAAGCCTCAACTACATTTGCAGCTAGGCTGCATCCAGCCTAGTGTCTACAGCTCCAAACAGTACCTGCAGTGTAGACAAACCACGTAGGATCAAACAGAAGTAGATACAGTCCAGGGGCAACTCCAGCTCCTAGAATAGCTAACGCAGTCCCAGAACTCTTAGCCCAGTCTCTGCAGATTTGATTTCTCTGTGTGTGAGTGAGGGAGCCTATTCTGGACCAGCAAACCTTCACAGAACTGATGACCCCTGTTTAAGCATGCTCTTCACTGGTACAAAGCCCTACTGCTCACAGCACCACCAGACTCCTTAGCTTCCCCTCTCATTATGCCATGGCTCTCAGATAATGTCTCAGATGTAGCCATGGGAGACATAGAAGGACACAGAGTAAACAACTTATTGGTGGTGTTCAGAGGAGCATGAAGCTATAGTTGCCCGGAGGAGGGTTTGTATGGCAAAAGCATGGAACTTGCCTCTCTCCCTTCTGGCAGCTCTATGTTCTGGCTTCTCTTAGGAACACAGAGTCATGGCTGTCAGGAGGGGATTTATCACAGCAGAAGCATGAAGGGAGGGAGAAGCATACTCCAGCAGCTCTAAACCCTCTCCCAGTAGCTGCAGCTCTGTGCTGGTAGCCAGAGCATGTTGCTGCCAGAAGAGGAGAAAATGTGGTCCATGCTCTCACTGTGCAAGCTCCTCTTTTGATGTCTTACCCTACCAGCATGGAACCACAGCCTCTGGGAAGAGGTTTAATGCAGCAGGAGCATGAGGCCACAAGGATGCCACCACGATGTGCCTGCTGGTCCTCGGGGCTGTTGTATTGACAAGGGGTGCACTGTGGCAGCCCCTGCACTGGCAAGACCCTGCCTGCCCCCCAGACAATACCACCTTCTGGGCAGTAGAGTTTGGGAGGGTTTTCAGATAGTTCATGGAGTGGGAATCTGGAAGTGATGCATCCTGGGATGCTGGAGGACCCAAATTGCTCATTTTATTTCTGTGGAAGCTGACTGACTGCTGGGATCCAGATGACATTGGTACAACATAAGCACAACCCAGAGATACTTCTCACCCAAAGTGGCATAGTTTTGAGATGCTCAGAGAGCATCTAGCATAAGTTGTCTCTCTCTAACATGCAAGCACTCATACTTTAAGTGTCTTTAGCATATGTATGTGCTACTTGTAACGTGTAGCAATACTCTTACTCATACCTAAGTGCTGGGATGTTCTTCCCTTCCTGGTACATCCTCTATGTGTGTGTTGACTGTATAGTGGAAGAGCTAAAGGATAACAGAGGATACTCTAGCTTTCATCTTTCTCTAGTCCATTTTGCTCTACTTTTTTATTTTTATACAGGGAACAGCCACAGAGCTGGACTCAAAATAGTAGTGCAGGGGTTACACACCACATTCTTACTTTTGTGTAGCCATTAATTCTTCATCTTACTTTGCTTGTAAATTGTACTGACACCCCCAACCCTTCGTTTGCTTTGTCTTTAGATTACACATCCTTCACGGCAGAGATTGTCTCTTTCTGTTTGTAACATGTCCACTGGATACCTAACCCCAATTGCTATTATAACACTATTAATAACTGGTAGCTTTACTAGGGAGCCTTTGCACCTACAGAAATTTGGGCAGGTTTTTCTTATACATATTTCACTTAGATAAACACCTGTTAGCAAGTCTATAATAAAGTTTGAAAAAAGGACTCAACCATTATCGGTAATTTGATATTTCTGAAAAGTAGTAATAAAAATATCCATTTCCCTACAATATTTTGTTTGTGCTGACTACCCCAGGTATATAAAAGGTGCTTGTTTGAGTATAAAAGTATCTGAGCAACATATTTATTAACTGTTTATAAGTTAAATTTTAAAATTCTATAATATCTCGTGAAACAAATGATGTGTTATGAAGTGGGCTTATCAACAGCACAAGAGGAGGAACATCTGTAAACAAATGAGAAATCATCATTCATACCCAATGGTGTGTCAACCAGGATAGCATTGAAAAGCTCTGAAGGTGTTTGTGCAATGCTGACTGCTTCCATTTGCTCAAAACTGCCCAATGGATGGCACTTCGGAACAAGTTCAGCTATTGGACGTTGATGCAGTGTACCAGTTATCAAGAGAATCACATTGTCAATCATATAGCTGTACCTGAATTTGAAAAACAAAACAGGAAAAAGGCTTGTTTTTCTTTTAAGGAAGTTTGCTTTGAAAAAAGTGTAGAGACGACTATTTGTTAATTTAAAAAGAGATCTTTATGGTCATAAATCGCCATATACCTGCAACATTGCTAGCTGCTCAGACCCTTCCAGTAAATAAGGACTGCTAGATAGCAGCCTAGACAATATTAATTTTGAACCCTAAAGTTGCTTTGACTTACAAGTGTTTTTGAACTTCTAAAGAGAAGTGGGAGCCTGACCATGAGTAAAATAGTAAATTGTGTAGCTTTGGAGTCTGATTTTATTTTAAGGTCCGACCATAGATAGCACCAAAAGCACATTGTGTTGAGTTAGCAGCAGCATCTTCTCAAAATTAAAGCTTTTCTGGAATACTTCTCCCTCCCATAGAATACCTTTTGATAACTCAACAACTAATGTGCCTTTTTTTCAAGCTCTGGAACCATCCTTATAGTGAAGATTAATTTCTTGGTAACACAATTCCAGAATGATTGCACTGCACTATCAGGACTGTTAAACGCTACAGGCTGAATCCTGTTCAATGTATTAGGTGTCTAAGGCAATCTTAGTCCATACTGTGTGAATCCCTGAAAAAACATTATCTCAAAAGTCAGTGAGTCCCCCTTCCTACCACTTTTTGTGACTTAAGGCTAAGATAAAGGTGTGTTACAAAACACTAACTTGCATCCATAGATGCTTCTCAAGCAAATCCCAGGACGTCATTCTCCCCTTGTACTCAGCCTTGGTGAGGCCGCAGCTGGAGTACTGCATCCAGTTTTGGGCCCCACAATTCAAAAAGGATGTGGAGAAGCTTGAGACAGTCCAGAGAACAGCCACGCGCATGATCAGAGGTCAGGAAAACAGACCTTACGATGACCGGCTGAAAGCCATGGGGCTCTTTAGCCTGGAAAAGCGCAGGCTCAGGGGTGATCTGATGGCCACCTATAAGTTTATCAGGGGTGACCACCAGGATGTGGGGGAACATTTGTTCACCAGAGCGCCCCAAGGGATGACGAGGTTGAACGGTCATAAACTCCTGCAAGACCATTTCAGGCTGGACATAAGGAAGAATTTCTTTATTGTTCGAGCCCCCAAGGTCTGGAACAGCCTGCCATCTGAGGTGGTTCAAGCACCTACGTTGAACACCTTCAAGAGCAAATTGGATGCTTATCTTGCTGGGATCCTATGACCCCAGCTGACTTCCTGCCCTTCGGGTGGGGGGGTTGGACTGGATGATCTTCTGAGGTTCCTTCCAGCCCTAATGTCTATGAAATTTGTGAAAAGGAGATTATTGAATAGTGTTTTGGAAACTCAAGCAGGGTGGAATTGGATTAGCTCTAAGTATACAGAACTAGTGTATGTGATCAAACAGGAGGTCTTCAGGCCTTGTCCACCTGTCCCCTAAGTGTAGCAGGAAAGCTCCTCCAGAGATGCCCCAGGTGGTTGTTCTCAAATTTTCAGAGTCTGGCATATTTGAGAGCAGTCCTATAGCACACCCCTAGAACAGCTTCACTGCCACATTACCAGGTTTAATGTGTAAGCAGGAAAAGGTATGCAGGGCACAACTGTGACCATCCTTGATGGTTCTAGGGATGTGGTGTAGTCATACCCTGAGAGACTGCCAAATGTGAATGGGATAGATTTGATAGTGTTTACCTCTGATATTTATAATATAGATACTAATCTTCATTTTGCTTCACTCCTCCAGAATTCTACTACAGAAGCACATGGATGAATGGATTTTCTTATGCAAAATTTGAGAGGGTGCTAACAGGTCCTGCAGCTTTTATTCAATGATGTAAAAGGCATGTCATGTACCATAAAATAGTGTTATCCTGCAATACTGCAAAACATCTGTGTTTATTGGGAAGAGCCTGTTCATATGTGGGAGCATACATGTGGTAAAATTCTGTGAACCAGTAGTTGAATTTTGCACAACAATGTTATACATCTATTCTAGTGCAGTCTTCTAGTCATCATGATGCAATTTGTTAGTACAGACACAAAACTGACTCAGCTGTTACAAGAAAAAAAATTACTTGTGTGTCAAGTAAAACATTACTGCCTTCAAATAAGCCAGGAAGTAAAACCTTGCAAGGTTATTGTTGTTCCTGTCTGGAGTAAACAGGTAAACATCCCAACATAAAACAGGTCTCTGTTTTCTCATTAACATCTTGTTAAGATCACAGACTTGTGAGTTGTATCAAGACCTGATCATCCTATTCATTTAATATAACATAGAACACAGGGTTTTTAACCAAAGCTAATATTCCTGTCAGAGAAAATTGTCTTGCTTTTATGTGCAAATTGTATGTGAAAAATATGGCACCTCAATTCAAATTTAGACTGTCACCTTTAAATGAATTACAGAGCTTGTTATGTGTGTTCTTATTTAGAATTGCTATCCTGAACTATCGTGAACATCATGAAATTGTTTATTGTGCCAAAAAAGCCTTAAAGTATTAAAGAAAATCATAATTTTAGAATTTATAAATACCATCTCCCAATCTGATTCCCTCTCCACATTGAGAAGAAATCCCATTTTTGTAGTCCCTCACCATGCAATAAGAATAGCTTTTATTTAGGTTTCCAAACACTCAGCTTCGCTTTTATAATATTAGAGTCACAGAAATATCACTTTTCACCCAGTTGTATGTAAATTGCAAGAACAAGAAAGTGTCCTTTCTTAGCCTTGTAATATTTGGTTGGATATACGTTTATTTTTAATGTTCAAATGAGGTATAAGTTTAAATGAGGTATAAGTTTAAATGAGGAGGTAACTTTACTTACGTGATAAAGTTTAAAAATGTGGCAAGTGGCTCAAAAGCATGATTTCTAAAGTAATGAAATTCTGTGAGTAGTTTCTCTTTCAATTTGTCATCAATGGTGGAAACTGTGAGAGGGCCAGTTTCATTGGCTAAGAAGTTTCCATAATCTGTAGTTTGTAGATGTAACTTCAAGTCTACAAATAGATTCAAAAGAAACTATGAGTATAATTTGTCATTATGATAGAAATAGAACAAATTGGAATAATCTTACATTTTCTTTAAAACCCTATATTTGATTAGTAAGGGCTTAATCTTATTCCATTGAAGTCAAAGGAAGGCTAGCCATTGCCTTCTTTAGAGCAAACTGCACTTCCTTTTCAAACAAGATTTATTCTACACCTAGGGCTAGGGATGGGAGAGAAGTTTACAAGTAGTTTTTCCTCTCTCAAAGGCTACACTAGGGGAGGAGGTTTAATCACCAGAGAGTCGTACTAATAAGACTGTGGGAACAAATCTCCCAAATGCACTCCTTTGCCCTCCCCCCTCCTAAGTTTACCTTGTGTATTATTTTGGCTGCACTAGTTCTCAGAGAGCTTTCTGCAGTGGAATAATTGTTCTCTAATTAATTTTCTTTTGTCAGGATTTCCATGAATTATTTTATGGTGGTAGGATCTGGGATAAACCAAAATTGAATCTGGTTTATGACTTTCATGTGGCTTATTTAATCATCATATAGAAATATCATCATATAGCAAGGCATGTGAGGAGATAGGCAGCAGAGCTCAAATGTATAAATGTAATGGTATTGCTCAGATCAGATACTGGGATGTGGTTAAGCTATGTACAGTGTAGCAGAAGGGGGTTTGAAAGATCACTCTTATGCTCTCTTGACATTTGAGTTATCTGACCTTTAGACTGCTGTAACTAACTTCTTCTGTTAGCATCCCTCAAGGAACTGCCTCAGAAACTGGGCTCATTGTGAACATAGCAATATCATGTCCATGCTGTCTGCACTGTCTGGGGCAGAAAGTGGGGTGGTCAGCAACTCTGTGCCATCAGAAGAGTCCTCTACGCAGAGTCCCTTAGCCATTCTCCCAAGGCTGTATAACCATTTCACCCCCAGGGTAGAAGAAAGGATTTGAATCTATTCTTAATATTGAAAATTTTGCATCTCATTTTAAAAAACCACTACAAGGTTGCATTATTTATATATATAAATAGAATAGAATTTATATATATATCCAAAACCATTACCTTACAACAATGGTGTTAACATAATATAGGGTTATATATTATAACATATAATATAAAACTGCACTCTCTCTCTCTCATATATATATATATATGAGAGAGAGAGAGAGAGAGTGCAGTTTTATATTATATGTTATAATATATAACCCTATATTATGTTAACACCATTGTTGTAAGGTAATGGTTTTGGATA